ATATAATTTTTAGAGCCGATAACGCTGTAAAAATTGACCTCCCAAGACACACTTTCCATGTTTTAGTCTTATATAATTTAATAATTAATTGCTCGATTCAAGTGAAGTCCGCTAGTGCATTCGGACATTTTTATGGTGTCGGTATATCAGAACAGGTATTTCAATAATTAAAGAAATATTCGAGTGTACACGAATAAAATGGACATACTGTTTTTTTTTATTTATTTATTTATTTTGTTTTTCCTTGCCTTCAGTTTTCATAACATTCTCTGTTTACATATGTACGTTTACATACTGTTTACATATAAACCCATCTTATCTTTATGACATAAATAAGTTTTTAAAAATTACAGACATACAATAAGTATGTTATTATTATATTAATAACATAATTTTGTCATCAGAATGACACTCCAATTCTACTATACAATTACAATTATGTAACAATTATGTAACAACCCTGACGTGTAATGAAATAATACTTAAGTTTTCTCGAATTTATGAAAATTGTAACAAATTAAATTCAACAAATTACAAATTGCATTGCTGATTTCGATTTTATTTAATTTCTCATTAATACGAAAGCATGCATTTATATACATATTAAAAAATGTATATATATTGATATGCAAATATGTTATTTTCATGTGATTATGTGGTAGGTTAACACCACTCACCAGAGATATTAAAATAATCATTTACGTCACTACTCTACGCATTCAAATATTCTTTACGACAAAATCATATAGCTTGAGAAACTCGCCCTAAATTAAAAAAGATTGTTACCTATTCGTTAATTTTCACGTATCACCAGGTACGGTTTTTCTGCACTAGGACACAGGAACTTTTCACTCATCGAATACCAATTAGTACTCTTATTACTATTCAGTTCCATCAAGTTGTTCCACAAAACATTCCCCACTAGCAACAAGTATGTTAAAATCAACGAGTATTAATTAATAAATAGTATAATAAGTTTAAGAATACATAGTCCTGCGAATCATCGAAAAATAGATACACTTTTCTAATTATTCATGTATCTGTAAAAAATTGTTTAAAAAAAGCTTTCACTTTCATTTATCTGTATCTTTTCGAATTACACGAATGAGTATGTAGACTAAAGTACTAAAATTAATGAAATGCTGCGTATTGTTAATATCATACTCACATAATGCTTGTGATTTCTGACTTATATGGAAACAATCGTAGGCCATGTAGGAAAGATCAGTGTACCCATCATTTGCTAAGGGTATGATTACATTTTTAAAACCTGGTAAAACTTCAACTGTGAAGTCTTTTCTGTGAAACTCTGGATACTCCACAACAGCTTCTTCCATTTTCTGCCACCTAGAATCGCAACACTACTGCAATATAATCGTCAAACAAGTGTTATGTCGAAGTAAATAACTGAATGAACGTATAAATAATCTAGTCAGAATTTATAAAACATTTAGGTTATTGATAATAATCAAAGATATTTGCAATAATAAAGAATAAAACTTCATATTCAAAATAATTATGTTTGAGAATATTCGGAAGCGTTACATAAGTCCGCCAATTCCCCTGGCCACCGGATGTAGACGTAACACCTCTGTTCTCTATTATTATTTCTGGCCCATTTGTCGCAAATATTGCATAACCGGCTGACAATGAATCGCCCATGCTACCAAACACGTAAATGTCTCCTGGTCTTAAACGATTAACGGAAGTCGGTACTTGCGAAGATCTAGCACCTATCCAAAAAAGTTATAAATACAATCATATCTATTACAACATGAATAAAAAAAATATTATATTATTTCACTGCATATCGAGTATCAAATATTTTAATAGTACTTTATTAGGTATACTTCAACTAAATTTAAATAAATTTTAAATTTCGTTCGAAGTAAATGTCTGTTTCAGTACTGTTTTATTTTACATATAAGCATCTTATCTGATTATTTCGAAAAATAGAATAATAGACGCTTTAGTGTAAAATCTAAATGCATGTAATGTCGTTTTTTGTTATCTTTTATTGAAGTTAACTGTGTATCTTAAAACAATTGAATTTTAAATCACCTGTTACGTTACATGGAAAGAGTACACTTGATGGAACTTTTTCCTGGGTATTTGGAAATACATCACTCCCACTTCTCTAGTTTGATATTCTGTTAACTGTCATATAACAAACAGTTGTATTAATAAATTATATGAACTTTTAAACGTGTTAAAAGAATGCAGGAATTGAAATGGTTCCGAAAATAACTGTTTGAAGCTGTTATATATCGGTTCCGACCAAAACAGTTATGAATAATCGAATTATTAAATTTTTAAAGTAATAAAAACTGAAATAATGTCATTTTCGGTTCCGGTTCTTCAGAACCAATATAATCAGGGTTCTATAGTTGTTATTTTTTGGTTTTTGAAAGTTACGAAGAACCGAAAGGTAACAGTTGTAGAATCGTTTCAGAACTGATATACCGAATAATAGTTATGACTTATTTCGATTCTTCATAACTGTTTCAAGGACCGAAACCGATATAATAACTATTTTTAACCGGTGGAATGTTATTCCGATAGTATTGCTACGGGTAGTAGGAAATTTGAAGGGATGGTACTGCAGAAATCCATAAAGGCATTAACAAAATTTAATTAGCACAAAAATACTGTTAAATATTGAAGATACTATTCAAATGTAATTCTGTAGCACTGAAATAGATATTTTTACTTATTCAATGATAAATATTATATATCTTATTTCTAGAAGTGCACACCTGCAGTTTTCAGTAGATTTATATGGTATTAAGAAAGGTTATGTGAATATCAACTCAAAAAATTGTTTGATTAATGGCTAAAAGAAAAATATGGGAAAGGTACTTCGCTTCAAGGAGGTTCAAATCTTAATGATCCGGGAGATGTCTACAAAATTTTCAGTGAAAAACAAAAAATCAAGTAGACATCCAGGTACTGGGGTATTGAAATCAAAATCCTATTAACGTCATTTTATTTCTTACACAAAGACAAACAATTTTTCAATTTGCCTATTTCTTTATTTTTTATTTTATTTTAGTTGTTTATTTTTCTTAGTTCTTATCAGTTTTCCAAGTACCTTATAAATTTGTATTTTTAGCCTCAATGTTGAGGTCTTATTTTTAACTTATAACGGTTAATATAATCCTTAAAGAAAAGATGAGTTGAATATTTTTCAATGTTCAATATGTATACAATGTCTTTTTGCAATTAATGTTTACTTCTCAGATAACATTTTTTGTTAAATCTCATGTTTTCAACATAGTATTCAAATAACAGGGTATAAAAATATCAACCTGTGATATAAATGCCTACATTAATGCATGCGCGTCACCAGTCATAAGTATCAAGGAAAGGAACCGGAAAAGATTGTATTCCTATAACCACACATTTCAACCTTTACCATACCAAGTACTGTCCCTCAGAGACTTCAAGAATATTTATTTTTTATGTCATTCAAACCGTTGTTTGCCATCAGCATTTTAATCATGAAAGATTGAGTTTACGAATGAACTAAGAGTTTGCGACCAAAAGCATCTATTAAAACTAGTTTCTAATGTCTAGCGACAGAATGTAATTAACAAAAGAGATAATTGAAAAAAGAACTATTTATCGTATACACAGCATTCCGTGTCACCATAAAAAATCGACAAAAATCGTCGATGTGCTTTCGTTCACGTACCGTAAGAGCGGAAGACAGCATGACGATATTGACTATAAAGTTCCAAGTTTGCTGGACTATCCACTTCCGTCCTTTGAGCTGCGATCAGGACACAGAGCTGCAGAATCAAGAAAATGCTTATTAATCGGCCCATCGCAAGCGTGTGTTACGGAAAGTGTACTGGGAGACGATAATGGTTTCCAGCTTTCCGCGTCGCGGTACCGAACGAATGATTGAATTCTTGACAGGACAGTACGAGATTGCCGTGTCTGCTACAGGGTGTTTCTAAATTCTAGCGCACAAATGATAAGACGTGAGGTCACGGCACCTAATATAGAACACCTGATTTGAAAAGCTTGTCAAAACGAGGGACATGCATTCTTGTCAATAAAACCTATATCAAATCACGAAGAAATTAATAAATATTCATACACCGATCAACAACATCAGAAAAATTTAAATGCCTTCGAGCTGCGGTAAAAAATATGAATAAAGTCAAAAACAGCGCACAGTGTCCGATTTGGCTGTTTTAGGCAGTTAAAATTTAAAACACTTATATATAATAATAATAACAATAATAATAATACTAATCAGTTATAAAGTATATAATAAATGAATAAATATTAAATATTGTTAATTATATACTTATATAAAAAACTGCATATTTATATAAAATGAGTTACATTTTGTCGCGTATAATAAATAATAATAACCCAATAGGTAATAATATATTATTAGAATCAATTATATAATATATAATAGTACGATCACGCTCGGACTTTCGAACGCTTTGTGTTGCGTTTCAGAAAACATGCTCCAAAAAACAATGGTGCAAAAATGTGCAAAATTTGTTTTATTCGTAATAAACATATAGCTTTACCGAATATGATAGTGCTTGAAAAAAGGTCGAATCTCACAGGACAATATAACAAAATCATTCATGAAATATTACAATTGTAAGAAATATCATTGATTATAAATCACGTTCAAATATAAATAATAACACAAAGGTACATAATAAATGAATCACGTACTATTAAAAGTATAGTATATATTTACCTGAGAAACTTTGATTTTGGAAAAAGTATACACAATGTCTTTGAAACACATGAAAATGTTTCGAATATAAAGATCAATTTCTTTTTATTTATAAATGTTAATAAAGACATCCTGAAATAACATATATAAAAAAAATGTAATTGTAATATTAAATAAGTGAAAATTATCGTTCATTTCAGAATGTGTTATCTTTTTGATCCGGACTTATCTTAAGTCGGTGTTCAGATTCAGTTAATTCAAATATTTCCCGATACGCAGCACTGTAAGAAACAATAAACGTATTTTGAAATTGTCGAACTAAGAAGTAGAACTGTAATTTAAATTGATAAAAACAGTGTCATAGTAAAGTAATAAAGTAGACAATTATTTTAGTATATGGAAATTTGTTTGGGGCAACTGTAGATTTGTAACAACCTATTGCAATTTTAATATTATGGAATAACCAATAGCGTAACCCCTTTAAGATATTTGTAATTTTGTTAAAATCAAATGAAGCCGCGTAGAGTAAAAATTAAATGAAAACTGTATTCACTTAGTTAATTAAAATTATAAAACGTAAAGTAGTATATAAACGACAAAATGTTTGTTTATTTACAGTATCTAAGGAATATATGTATATCAAATTAACCTAACCTTCCAAGTGACGTTTCATATCTGCAGTTACATTAAATAACGTTATAACAATGGACAAATCTATATTAGTGCAAAAACAAGTAAAAGATAATGCAGAAGATATGCAGAAGGAATTTCTTGATATGAAAAATTGGGAGGAACAAATGAAACGTAAAGATGAGGAATTAAGGAGAGAAGCGAGTGGTGAAGTAAGTACTATTAATAAATATTTAATATACCATATTTTATAATTACGAGAATGACTTGGTTGTAGAGCACATTACCACCAATCAGAAGCAAAACTAAAAATAAAAATAAAACAAAAACTGCTCCTACCAAAGAAAATGGAAATAGTAATATCAAACCCAAAAGAATTAAGTCACACGATTATTCTGCTTGGGAAAAATTTGATGTAGTAAGTTATTAAGTATGAAATAATATTAACATCATAAAGCAAGCTGTATATAATTATTAATTATGCATATTGTGTCGAAGGATAAAGCATGTAAAGATATAGATAAACAGGAGCAGTCAAGTGACTCTGGAGATGAAACTATGTCTAAAGAAGAGTTAGAAAAAGCACACGAAATTGCAACAAAGCACAAAGATGAAGGCAATTCATTTGTACGTTCTTGTGAATGGGTCAAAGCTATTCAGTGTTATAATCAAGCCATAACAGCTTTTCCATATGATGCTGTGTTTTTTGCAAATCGTGCACTTTGTCAGTTAAAGCTAAACAAGTAAATATTTTTCGCAATATGATAGTTAATTATATCATATAGGAGTTAACTTTTTAAATACAACAGGATAAATCTATTAAATTTTTCTTGTGTCCTTAATTTAAGCCACTATATATTTTTTAGTTTCCATTCTGCAGAATCAGACTGTTCCGCAGCAATACAATTAGATGAAACTTATGTAAAAGCTTATCATAGGAGAGCTACAGCCAGAATGAACTTAAAACAATACAAAGAAGCTAAACAAGATATAGAGAAAATCTTAAAGTTGGAACCTTCTAGTAAAGAAGCAAAATCATTATTAGTTCAAATTGAAAACAAGATTAAAACCTCAAATGTGAGTACTAATTAAACAGATACAATTTCAGTAAAATTTTCGTTGAATTATAAGAAATACTATTTGATGTCAATTTATACAGTCATCTACCACACCAAAGGAAAGTACAGAAAAATCTCCTGTAAAATCTATAGTTGACAAGAAAATAGGAGAAAAAAATTGTCCAAATATATCAAACATCAAAATAGTAGATAGTAAAGATAATGAAGACATTAAGCATACTAAAGATGATAAAAGTAACATTGAGCTTAAACAAACTAAATGCACTAAAAACAGTATAAAACCTGAGGAAAATCTAATAAATGTTAAAGGTGATAAAACTGCTCATGTGGAACTTATTCCATTGAATCAAAAGAAAATTGATTCACGAATTCCTGATTGGCTACCAGAAAAAGGTGATGTTGCCATAATAGAAACTATTATAAGGCCACCTCACCTCTGTTCAAAGGTAAGATTATATGTTAATAAAATTAAGATGAATGTAAATACAGTGTCTTCATTGCTTCTAGATACCATTAAAAAGAATACCAATTGAAGAAGTGGAATTTAATAGTACTAAACAAAATTATGAGAATGATAAAGCAGTATGTAACAGACAATTGGAAACAAATAGTACAGATGATAATTTTAAGACAAATAATTCGGTTAAGGTTTCTGAATCATTAGAGTGTACTAATAAAATACCTCCAGTCCCTAAAACAGCTGTACAGTTTATAATGCATTGGAAAACAAATAAATCATTAGAATTTAGATATAAATATTTACACGTAAGAGTAATACAATGATAATTCACTTTTTTAATTTTATAAGTACTTGAACTAATAATGCAACTAAATATTTAAATTTCAGCAATTACCTGAAAATAGTTTACCTAATATCTTTCAAGACTCTATGGAATCTGATATTTTCAGTGAAATAATAGAAGTTTTAAGGATAGAATTTGTAAAACGGAAAGAGTTTATATTTTCTTATCTGAAAGATCTCAGTGTGGTCAAACGATTTAGAGCTCTTATCATGTTCATGAGTAATAAGGAAAAAGAAAGTAAGTATCATTATGTTTAATACAAAATATTTTAAGATTCTTCTGATAACATTGTTTTTCTTATCATTTATTATGCATATTTAGGTTTAAGAATACTTTTTGAGCATTGTAAAAGAGTGGAAAATATACCACTAAATGAAATTGCGCTTTTACAAACTAAATACGAAATCTAAAAGAAGCTTAACATGCACCAATTTAGTTCATAAAAAATAATTTTACGTTGTATTGTTTAATGAGGCATATTACAGTATATATTATACATTTGGTTATCTTACATATATACAGTGTATATACAAATAAAACAAGAAAAAAGTGAAGATTTCTGTCATAAACACATCGTAGAGTAAAGCTCACACACGGCCGTTTAATAACGTTTGTATTCGTTGATCATTTTTCATTATTTGTGATTTTATTTGACATATTTTGTCCAATTGTATTTTCATGTTTTGATCAATTTCATGTAATGTTTCTTTCATAGGTTCTATTAACTCTTGTGTTTTTCTGAAAATAAGAAAGTTACTGCATATATGTAACATCCTTTTAGTCATTAAAAGTTTTTACATTCCTTACATTTTTTCTGACTTTAATTTTTCGCTCACTTGTTGATATTGAGTTCTCCATTCTAATAATTCTTTTTGCATTATTTCAACATCTTCCTGCCAATATTATACCATGAAACGGATTGTTAATAAAAAAAACTACTATTGTTAGTATATGTTATTAAAAAGTCTGTACCTGAAAATAATCTAACAACTTTCCTAGTGGATTTGTTGCACGGGTTAGAGTTTGGATTGTGTTACGAAGTTTATCAACCTCTTTAATAACTGTGTCACGCTTTGAACTGGTATCCCATGCCTAATAATAAGTCTATTATTAAAGTAAAATTAATATATAAAAGAAAAGAAAGAATTTTCGTGTCCTTACAATGTTTGTTTTCTTAGGCATTACATCTATATTTTCATTATTAACAAGTTCCTTTTGCGTTTCTAATATTTGGGCAACAAGATGTCCATGTTCTTGCGTCAATTGATCGTCAACTTTGAATGTACCACTATTCTCTAGAGAATCACCGCCACCACCTCTGGTTTCCATAACTACCATATCTTCAGCATCATCATCTTCTTTACTTTCAGAATTTTCTACAATAACAGTTATATTTCCCATAGGCGTTCTGGAAAAATAGGCTCTAATCAATAGATGTTTCATACTATTTTTTATGACAATATATTTCAGTTAATGCTTACAGTATTTCTTCATTAACAGATAATTCGGGCTTTCCCCGTAGTCTAGGCGCAGCAGGTCTAGCACTAATTGGTCTTGCAGATGGTGGGCGTAGAGAAGTTTTTGGTCTAGTATTTGATTGTGAAGCACTGAAAGCATCAAGTTTCTTCAAATAACTGTAAAATCTTTAATCGATAGGATGTATTCAGAAGTACCTTGTGTCAATGTGTTCCAATTGAGATTGTTGAGTCTCTAATACTAAATTATCAAACTTTTCTTCATTTTGATTAGAAATTTCATTTTTCATTTCAGTGTCTTTATGTTCCACCGTTGTGTTCTCCATACTTTCATTAACTTTATTGTTTTTGTTATTTATAGATTTAGTTTCTAAGTACATGGTGTCTGATACATTCTGTACATGATTCTGAGATTCACTGCTTTCATTATATGTTGTTTGTTTAGATTTGTTGTCAACCTCTTTTTGCTTTTTGTTTTCATTTGGCTTTTTATCCACATTTACATCTTCTTGTATGAGAGTAGTTTCAGATGAAAGTATGGAAGATGTACTGGGTTTAGGTTTAGCAGATGAAGATCTCCTTCTATGTGCAGACGAAGGAACTTTGTCCTGTGTTGACTGAAAAATGTAAATCTTAAATATTATCTTTTGTCTTGTTAAAAAATTACATATAATGTGGCATCTTGTTTTACTTACTGAAGTTTGTGTAATTTCAATATCTTTTTGAGATTCTCGATTTTCATCTTTATGTGTTTCCATATTATGTGTTTCTGCTTTATGTTCATTCTTTTTTCTTTGATCAGAAGTCTTATCTCTACCAGTTGTAACTCTTTTTTGATGGACTTCTTTTGATGTCTTTTTCTCCTCTCTCTTAGTTGATGATTTACTTTTTGATGTTGATTTACCTTTCTCTAAATTTTTTTTATAATGTTCTATAGCTTCAGTACTATTTATCTGTTTTATAAAGTACTTATTATTCTTTTATACCTTTAAATTATTGCATCTTAAAATGTACTAAATCTGTATTACCTTCTTATCTAAAGCTTTTCCAATTGTTTGTAGTAATTCATTTGTCTTAGTTGGTTCCTGGCCAGAAATTATTTTACTGGCTCTTACAGTTAAATTAGTACCAGTAGCTAGTTCTAAAATCATTTTAAAGGATACTTCAGTAATCATCTAAGAAATGTTAAACATTTTATATTTTTGTTTTGGAAATTATATGTACTTACTGACAACGTCAATTAATTTTGTTAAATATGCAAGTTTTGCTTCTTTATTATTTATATTCTCAGAGTTCAGTTCTTCTTCAGTGAATAACCCATCTAAGAAACCAGTTTCCCTGATCACCTATAATACAATTTTTAATTAGTGTTAAAGTATTGCGTATTCAAATGTCACTTGTAACAGAGAAAATATATTTGTTACCGCTGATACAATGTCGTGAAGAAATCTGAACGGTGGTTTCTTTAAAAGTTTTTCAGTCAGTGGAGGCTTTTTGAAATATTTTCCAAGAAGATCTTGTGTCTTCTTAATTACTTCTGGCTTCACATCATCTGCCATTGTTAATTACAATTAGAACGTGTTGTCAATTTTAACATATGTTACTCTTCAATTTGATACATTTTTTGTTGTACTAACTAGTTGCATAGCAACGGCTGTACCATTAACACGCGCTATCATATAATGGAAAATACAGAAAACAAGTACAAATTACAATTAAGTATTATGTCCATGACGTTAATTTGTATATTGAATTGTTTTTAATCAATAAAGTATATTGTTTATTTTCGGTTCCAACATTTTTAATTAATATGAAAGGGAGATGGTAGGTAATGTAGATCACATAGTAAATATCGATAAAGAAGATTTAGAAATCTAGGACTGATAATAGCGTCCTCTACTCGATCAGAACTACATTCTAACTGAACTACAAATGTAATTGATTCGGTAGAGACATCGAATAAAATGCAAAAAATGAATAATATAAAAAACGTGTAAATTTCATTTATTCCAACAACTCTTTCTGCTCTGAAGACACTATAGAGTGAACTGAGAATTTTTACATGTGTACTCTTTTTTATAGATTAGTTCCTACCATAACTCTCCACGACTTGTACAGAAAGTTGCGTGAAATTAGTGATCGATAGATCCATTTGATCACCGATAAATTAATCATTTCCAGCCATTCAATAGTTATAAAGAACTAATGATTTTTTTTGTAAAAGACGTTGTCGGACATCCTTTCTTAATAGAAAGCAATTCACCATGCAAATTGTGAACTGGTATCGTCAATAAGAAAAAAAGCGACAAATAAAGTAATTTTCAAAGCGTGAATGTTTCAAAGAAGGTTTACATTGAAACGTTATTCTTGTTGCGAGACGTTGATATTTATAAATAACAGGAATCGTTATTCAGTTTGTTTAACGTCCGCGAGGAAAACCGCCACGCACTTGCTTTTATGCTCGCGATGTCGGTGACGATGGCTCGATTAGAGGAAGCACCACCTCGGATAAATCGCCGGACGTCGCGTCGTGGCGTTAGCGTTTTATAGTGCATTAATTAGTCCGTGATGAGGAGGCGGATAAAAAGTTTTTACAACGTTGTAAATGCAAACGGGGGGCCTTACGCTCGCGCCGCGACGATCCACCATTTAATTCCCTCTTCGTTTTAACACCGGCCGACGTTTCGTCGCGCATTACAAGGCGTGTGTTAGTGATGGGACCAAGTGCATCGCAAGCACGAAGCTAGATTGAAAATTTCTGTCATACAATCAGAAAATTAACGAACAGACATAATTAAATAAAGTAAAAAGAATATTTATTTTAAACTCATATTAACAATTTTATGTAACCACTTGGAATCTATCTGTAACTCTTGTCTTCGAAAGTAATTAAAAATTAACGATTATTCAAATTAATTTATCAAAAATGACATAGATATAGGTATATGAAATTGAAATTTATGCTGAATAAATTATACTAATATTTGAATATTACTGAAAACAATCTTAATATTCAATATATTCCAAATACGTACAGATATCAGCTGTGACCAATTTTCACTTGCAAAATTTGAAAGTAACTATAACATCTCCTAAAGAAGTTTACACAAAATTATAGCCAATATTTTCAGAAACGGCTATTAAACTTGTAGTTCTTACTTCTAATAATTCAGTGTCTTCTTGTAATTGTAAATGTATTAATTTGACGAGTATACCTCTATTTTCATAAAGTTATTTACGTTATCAATCGGTAGGATCCAAAATATTCTGTTGTGCCATTATTAAATCCGCACACATTGAGCTTGATCCCATCGCTGGTGCACAGCGTGTCCGCGTGTGTCACACGTGGACCACTAACCGTTTATGGCATTACCACGTTCGAAAGCGGCGGTGTTCCCCACCATCGAGGCGTGCTTTATTGCCATCGCTTTATTAGGCTTTCGTTTAATTGACACGGACTAGCGGCCGAGCTTGGCATACTTTCGTCCCGAGTTACGAGCTAATCGTGCTTTCTAACGAGCGTGGCCCTTGTTTTAATGCGCCCCATCGATTTTTTCCTAACGTTAGATTAACCACTTTATGACGCGACGTTTGAACGCTTTTTTCGTTTCGTTTCATCTATCGGCGACGCCGAAATCTGCTGCAGCGAGAAAATGCTGTTATCGAGTTACCACTTCCGCCGAATTTATCAATAATTTGAATAACGATTAAATAGTAGCAATATTATACGTACGAAAATAAATTATCAATTAGTAATCTTGGTAGCGCATCCTTGGATCCTGGATGCAGAGAAAAGGTTACAGACAACGGCCATTTTGCACAGCACTCGAAGAGGGAAAAGTCTCTGCGGGACATCTAAAAGGATATTATTTGGTATATATTGGGAAAGTGTTAATGTATTCAAAGTGTAATGAGAAAGTTATGAAAATAGAGATGTAAATGATTGAAATTTCAATTGATTAAGAATTCTCGATAAATCAGCATTATGAAATATCTCCGATTGTAATAAATGTTTAAATTGCACTTTGATTTAAGACTCGAATTAATACACTTCTTCTTCTTCTTCTTCTTCTTCTTCTTCGAGAGAGAGACAGATTTCCTTAAACTTATTCTGTTAAAAAAATAGTAACTTTTTTTGTGATGAATCTATAATGAAGAGATTAATAGGTGAATAAGGCAATGGAGATAGTTGAATTTAATGATTATACTAAAATTGATAATCAAACTTCGAATAGTTTAATGTAAATTTTGTAAGTGACATTCGTAAGTAGAATGAGACGGCCATTTTTAGACTGAAAAGTTTGCAGATTAAAAAAATGGGAGTATGTGTTTTATGTAAATTGTTTTAATATTTGGAACGAGCAATGAGCGATATAGGTGACGAATTTTCTTGGAACTTGTATCATATTCTGTCAAAAAGATTCTACTAAATACTTTGAAATTATAGGTTCGAAAAAAAACGATTTAAATGTTTGTTCGAATACAAAGTACGAAAAGTAAAGTACTACACTGACACATTTATTTTGTTATATTCAGCTGGCGCACATTTAAACGGTAATCGCTAAGCGAACATTGTAAATAATGACAACCAAAATTGTTTGTAAAAAGTACGAAACTAAAGGTAATAAACGTTCTGGTCACTTCATCGTTAATTTTAATGGATCGACGAATAGATTGATTGACGTAGCCACCTATTAATATTTTCGAGTGTACTTTTATTTCTATTAAGTATAATATCGTTCACGAAATGAATAATTAAAGTACGCTGATCACAAATTATAATTACGATTTACAAAATTATATTATATATGTCGAGGTATCGGGAATTTGATTCCATCCGGATCGTATCATACAAATTTGTAATGATCATCAAGTTTTTAGTTACCTTTTAATCACGTAATAATCGTTACACTACGAAACAATTGTTTTTGCCATATATGCGATTTGTATGTTATATCGTTAGACAGATTTGAAAATTGTTCTTTCGTAGTCGTTGGTACCGTACGACAGATCAATTTTCCTGATCATCCTAACAAAAACGAAGATATGGCACACTCAAGTCTACATTCATTCTCAAATTACCATTAATTTCCGAAACGATTAAACGAATAAATAAATTAAAAAAGAGAAACGAGTATTTCATCGGGGTTACTGGTCATTCCACTTTATTGGAGCGTCAAACATCCTCTGACTTAATGAAATTAAATATTGTACATGATAATATGGCATCATCCCACTCGCAAAACGAAATGATACAACACACAACACATGAAAAATATAATATACAACACAGGAAATCTTGTGTCGGTGATCACACACAAGAGGAAAAAGAAATTGATCTTCTTGAAAACATAGGAGCGGAAAAGTCTCGTAAAATATCTACGTATCGGTATGCATTATATCGTATATTATTATCGTGTCGTTATGCATACTTTAATGACTTCTCGTGTCAATGATAGAGCGTCGAGGATATCGAAGAACAAAGAATAATAATTTAATTATAAATTAGCTTAACAGATTTATGCGTGTAACCTACGGTATTGCAGTCAATAATGCATTTTCGACGACTGATGCTAAACGTTACTTATCAATTTACGCGTTCCTGCGTCGCTTCGTCAGCATGGCGACAACCGCTCCGCTCCTCGAACCTTTTGGACATCGATGAAACCATACTAATCATATTTTCGTTTGTAAAGTGATCTTATAAATACAGAGCCCTTGTGTTCTCAATGTTTTTTTTTTGGTAAATTATATTACACTTCTACGTTAAAATGTCATATAAGTAGTTTGCGTCACATTGATCGAATCGGGGCCAACAATCGACAATTGTGATTTCATTCCTTCGGATGATGAGTTAGATTCGAAGAGAACAAACGAAATCATGGAGGTTTCAGTTTAGTGGGAAAAGAAAGTAGAAAATTAGCAGCGGTGTGAAGGTATTTTTAAATAAATTAGGTTTCCTTAATTACACGCTCCGTCGAACTTAAAGGTTCAAAGACGCAAAATACGGGAATGTTCCTCAGCATTCGAAAATACATACTGTTAATCGATTCCCTCGAGTAAGACTGACTGATGAATTTATATTTGATTCTTATGGCCGATTGATACCTTCACGTTGTTGGTTTTATTTATATTAACGTGTTCTGACAACGTTCTATCAGAATTTTTGAAATTGATTCGGAATATTTTGATTGGTACTTCATTAAATTCTTTTCCTTTTAAAATAGTGTCTTCGATAATTTTAGAATGGAAATAAATTCTCAAACATAAAAATATTTGAAATGGTAATAAAAGTGTTTAAAATAATTACAGAGTTATCATAACAGTTATACATAAAATTATACATAACACAGAACAGCAAAGGATTAAACCGATGAAGTATCCAGCCATACACATCAAATATAAACCTATCTCATTCCCATCTGTTCCATTGAAAACATTTCAAATTACATCAGATTGAGTAGTAAGTTCGTTCACGTTTTCTTCATTAAACTCTTCTTACTGTACTGGAAACATTTGTAGATATTGACATTGTTTGCTCTACTTGGAACTCAACCAAACTTCAAATAAAACAAATCAACTTTCATACAACTCTCAATACTTCAATCTTTTGTGCTCCAAGTGTAACACGTACAGGTAATCAGTATTCAATTCGTTACAGCCTTTAAACTATTCAATCACAAACAATACTCATCGACACAGCGTTTGTTATTCAAACTTGATACTCAATCTGATACAAGATTCCATTCCCTAGCTTCTTACTTCCTTTAGTCACCTCTTTCCGAACAGTTTCCGCGCCATGTGAGTACGAGATTTCTGAGGACACCTCCGAAGTTAGACGATCAACTTAGCCTCTATCGCTAGACTATGTTATTCTCCGGTCCGTTTTTCACGGGATCCTCAGATCTCCTTGTTGAGGACGATCCCGCAGGGTTGCACTACTCCGATGTTTGTCAGTTTCGGCCTCTTCGAGCTGCTCTTGCCCTCATCCTTCTTCAGCAGTTCCTCTATCGAGTATGGGTTCCTCTTCCGCTGAGGTTGCGCCGGCCTGCCCTCGGCCGCCGCTTCTTTGGCCATCGTGTTCTGCTCATTTCCGTTCTCCGCGATTCGCGGCGACGGTGTCTTCTGATTCTCGGTGCCGACCGGCGGTGGACTCTGCCCGTTTTCTACGCTTCCGGCAGGACCCGACGTGCTGTGTCTGACGAAAGCGCTGCGGTCGCTGCCGATCTTCTGGCCCAGCTCCAATATTATCGGCGAATTCTGGAACGGCTTGTAGTGATCCTGCGACTCCGTGTTCTCATCGAGGTCGCTCTTGTCCAGGGAATCGTCGCTGCCCGTCATCGAGCTCGAGCTCGATTTCAGCTCGACCTGGTTCGCGCCGCCATTTTGCTCCGATAGGCGTTCCACGTCCAACGATCTGAAGAAAATATTTTGTTCTTTTTTAGAGTTGTTGGATAGCACGATGATGTAATTCGAGTGTTTATGTATTGTCGTAGGGGCCTCTAGGATCGTTTCGAATCTTCTAGCATAGATTTTAACATCTAGAATTTAGAATTTCCTTGAATAGATCGTGTAGAGATCATATAGAACAGATTTAAATTATGATTTTTTAAAGTAGATAATAAAACTTGGAATTATTCGGTTCGATGACAGTGTACTTTTTACATTTTCCTTTTCTGGTAGCTCTGTTTTACTTAATGTTTTTTCTATTTTTCTGTTACCTTTCGTGCTTCTTATGTACTTTAAATGTACGATATAAATGTTGTTATTATAGAATTTCAGCTACTTTAAAGCGTCTTAAGTTCTAGTCAGGTTTCATGTGTTAAAAATGTAAAAGTTAACTTAATTTATTACTTTTTTTTTCATATTCCATGTTTTTTTCACAGAAAAGTTTAAGTTATATACAAGCTTGATCGTTAATAGTTTCAAATACTCACGTGAAGGATTGCATTCCATGATGCAAGTGCAGCGTGGTGGCTTGGTACAGGGATGAATAGAAGCTCGGATTCCAAGATGGCGCGCTGGTATTACCGGAAGTCGTGGAAATGTGCAGTGGCCCCAACGCTCCCGGATAAAACAGCTGGTAATCCGTTCTCATTAGCGCGTCTGGAAATGAAACGGCAAGAAAACCCGAGCTCAATTAACGAACCAAACTATATACAAAATACGCATTATGCTACACTAAATCCAACGTCACATGTCAGAGCTAATATTTGACACTTTTTACAATATAAATTGGTGTTAATCGGACCGGCGAGTCCGACTAATCGCGATCATTATCGAACCGGTTGTCGAGATAAATAGGCATGTATAGTTACATGAAGGTACGAAGCGTACGAAGTTTCCTTCAAGTTTAATGTCTACATTTTCGAGCTCATCAGTCTAAATTGAGGTCGCTGGAACGAGACGTGAAAAAGGAGAGAACGAAGGGAGGGGAAATCATTATCATTCTTCAATGGGCACTTTGAACATGATACGGTGTTATCAGCGATAATAAGGAATCTATTAATGAATCTATTAATGAAACTTATAGCAGATCGTATACTAAATGTATTACTTTCAAATTTACCGCTACAATCAACAAACCGTAAAGAAAAAGCTATTCAACACTTTGTAGTCGAAACAGTGTTCTTAACAAAGCAAAGACTAAAGATCAAGATTCTTCGTAACGATTGTTCTATCTTTCTTATATCTCATACATTCAACAAAATTCGATTCATTCGATGTAAAATTAAGGTAGACAAGTTAGTTGATAAATTTGTTTTAGTGGACACGAAAATAAAAGGAAAGAGAAAAATTGAAAAACTTATTAATCGAGCAATATGAGAATTGATATAATGTTAAATGAACAGAAGAAAACTTAACAATTTCAAAACAAATTTTAAAACGGGTCATTTGACTGGCCACGGTACATTTAGTATTGAGTTTCTGTAAAAAACAGTATTATCCCAAATCGGCTGACGTGGCAGTTGAAGTGTTAAACTAAGATGAGTAATCATTGTCATCTTTTCCATAATTTCTCATGGGAAACGCGGAAACAGATTGCTGACGCTCGCTAGGTACCTCGAACCGGATCGTTCCTGCAGTCTGCTCCGAATTCCGTGATGCAATTTCGCCACGGTCCGAAAAAAGATCGAATTTAGAGACAATTTACAGAATAAACGAGGTAAATTGTGGACCGAATTTCAAGTTCGTTTAAGGGGGTTGCGTGTCGATCATCTCACGGCAGTTCGCTGACGAGTCAATCGGCCACAAGGTAGTTTCGAATTTCTCTGCCTTCTCTCCCTCCCTCCCTCAGCAGCTCCAGGACACGCTATATCCACCATTCTTTCCTCTCCCCGTCCCGATTGTTGCATTTTTGCAATGCTCCCTTTCCTCCCTTTCCTCTCTTTCCTCTCTTTCCTCTCTTTCCTTCCTTCCCTCCTCTTTTTGCCTCTTTGTCGTTTCCTCTTGTCTATGGGGCTGATTCGTGGCGAGCGACGTGGCGCAAAAGGGGCAAAACAATGCGAAGAAATTCCAGCAACGAGCCCACGATACCGGACAGATGTTTAGGGGATCATTAGCCGATAATGGCGCACTCGCAACGCAGCTTTCCTTCGCATAATGGCTCACCAAGCTCGCAGGACAGGTACGACACGGAGATACAGTTAGGGGATCACTTGATGGCTAGACTTAAGAATTCGATTAAACGACCAGTTTTCATTTGTTCTCACCCAATTTTTTGTTGGTTTTATTTTCTAATTCCTGATATTTTCGATTACTTTGACTATTCGTCAATACGGTGACACGTAATCAATCAAAACTATAAAACTGTAAACTAGAAAGACACCTTTTGTCCTTGTGCGGTTCCAATAGACATCGAGTCATCTCCCAAACTGTCCATCCGCAGGAAGTAAGAGACGCGGATCGATCTTGGTGGTGGGTTCTGTAATTCGGGATTTTCGGCCAGCTGGTAGTTACGGGTCGTTAAGGCGCGCGTTACGATACTCGAGGGGAAAAAAGATGATTTGTGCCGATTTGAGGAGCCAGCTAATTGATGGTCCCTTCTTCACGTTGAATTTAATATAACTTTACAATGTTGCTAAATGAAGTTTCTGTTGCAGTTTTTGGTGCAGTTTTCAGTGAAAGTAGGCTAATTCTTCGCTACTAATTGATAATAGACATTCGTGACCATTACACTAAATATTTAAATTAACACTTTTAACTCATTCGACCATAATTGCTTTATTTAGTGTTTATTAGTTTATTATTATTAGCACTATAAGTAAATCACTTTGCTTTTATTATTAACACTATAAATAATACTAAACTAATAATCGCTAAATAATGCCACTGATCTCGAATGGGTTAACCTGGCGTAACCTTACCTCTGTTGGTGACGTTCGACGAGACTTGCGAAGCGTAAGGGCTGGAGGAACCGTTCTCGATGGCCGCGTGATCAGTGTGAAGCCCTCCGCCACGAAGGATCCGATTCACGGAGGACACAGAGGGCAAGCTTTGGGGATCGCAGGCTCCTTGCCGGGCCAGCTGCTCCCGGATCTCCCAGGCGAACATCGTCGGCTGTTCCTGCTTCATTCGTAGAATCTTTTTAACAACTGTGGGTGTGGCCACTTGCTGCAAAAGTAAAAAGCGGTTGCAAGTGACCATCGAGTGGCGAACATAATTTCAAGCGCGATATCAGCAGTTGTAATTGCCTGACACTCCCCCAATTAATCTACAATGACCTGTAAAATTAGTACCTGAAACGAATCACTTTTTTCCTGTGTTCGTGTTAAGCCTCTTACGTTATTTCCAAATAAAACGAAACATTTACATTTACAAAGACCATATTAAATTATTATCGTTTTAATTACAATGTTCCCAACCACGTTTATTATTGATATATATTTGAAAAATTAGTATATTTCAGACATTACATTTTAGAGCCCACAACTAAATGATGCTGTAAAAAATTCTTTAAGTGTCCACAGTTAATTGGTTATTTTTTCCACCGTCATAATTGCATCGTAAATCCTCCTAATATTAAAATTGCAATTTATTTTCAATCAACCCCTGAACAAAATGGATAAGATCATCAGCAGAGTAAAAAGGAAGTGAACATATCTTTTGGTGCCCCCAAAATAATTACGACGTGCTTGACATTTTTTTCTCGGACCGCCTCAAACGGCGGACGTGTTTAATGCCTACACAGATCGCCGGGATAAATATGATAAGTGAGAAACCTAAATTTCGGGGCCGCCGAAATCTTCTTCAGATAAAGCCGAGGTAACAAGCAGTCGCACGACGATGGGATCGAAACAATGTTACGAGCTGCCACCTGATGTTCCCGCGAGGGGTGATGCGTATCGCGGCCATTTCCGAAACTTAAACGTTGATGCCTGCGATCCCCAGCCAGATATAACAAGATGTTATCGATTCAATAGTGTAATTCGAGTCTCATCGATTTTGTACTTCGAGTCTCCTTAAGTTCGGCTGCTGTTCTTTTTTCTGTCAATAAGAACACGACAGCCACCATTACCCGGGCTAAACGCAAATACACGCGCTTCTGATTTCCTTGCAACGTGCCGAGATAATAATTCCCTCGCGAGTCGAACATAAATACACATGTTTTTGATTTTTTTGCAACTGATCGAGATAATAATCCCTTCCAGTAAAAGAAAGTCGACGCGTGCACCAAGTTTTACATACAATTCTTTTATAATGGCTTTCGAATAAAGTATTTACCTGATTTAAAGTTAATTATGACCTTATCCGGTTTTTGCGTAAAATTGTTTACGTTAAATTTGGTGAAATAAGCTTTCCTTTGACACTAGTTTGTATAAATTAATACCTAAGAGTGATAACACATTTAATTTTACATTACACCGATATTTTAAAATAAAATGGACTTTGTTTTGAAAATATTATTCTATAATTGCCATTTATCTTATAATTTGTCGATTCTTTCTCATCTACTCTCTATTTTCCAATGAAAAATGAATTCTCCACAAAGCTGATAATTCTCTCGAGCAAACACACTGTTAAATGAACGCGGCACAAGTTGAAGTCCTCTAAAATTGAGGAAGCGTGAACATCTGGTAACTAACCATTTTAACAATTTGTCCATTTTTTCCCAAGTTCTTCATTCTTCAGCAAAAAAGTCAGTTTTCAGCGGAGTTAATAACAGTTTGAAACAAAAAGGTTGACATCGAATGAATGCGACGCGAATTAAAATCCTCCAAAATTAATGAACCACCGGGTAGTCTGCGATGGATATCCTCGCGGAAGCGGTTGGACTATTATGACGGTTGCTAATTATTAACTCGGACACTTTTCGTGGCGTGCGGCGGGTTCGCGTTATCTCACCGACAAATTAACGCAAAAGTAGTCACACTGTTGTCGAAAAGGACAAACGGCAGAGGCCATATGTCGTTCACAGGTGGAGCACGTTGGATCAGATAACGAGTAGGTCCCAAAGGTAGGCGGTTGAAAGGGCCTGTACGTGCATGGCACGTTACGATTTATCGCACGACGAGCTGTTATGACGAATCGTAACGGTTAAACGACGCGACCTGTCGTACTTCATTACAACCCCCTCAGACTCGGTGCACATTGTAATGTACATCGTTTTACTACTTCATAATCTGACAAAATATTAAAACTGTCACAGGTAAACATAAATATACCCTTGCTTTGAGTCTATTTCTATAAGAAAAGTAATATACTTTTATGATTGCATTATTTATAATATATAATTTTATAATTTCAGGTGGCGTTAACACTAAACACACTACGCTCAATCATGCAATCAGTTTTAAAATTTGATTTCACATTTTGCATTTTTACTTAACCTTATATCAATTTTTATATTATCTAATCAAAAAGTTACTCATTTCTTTTTGTTCCTTTTTTTCACTAAGAAATATTTATCGTTTAACTCGTTTACCTGTGTTTCATAATTAATCACGAAAATCTTCAACCCACTGCGTCGATAATTTTCACAAATGTTCAAAAAGGGAAAGTAATAGTTACTCTGTTGCAGTATTGTTTTGTAGCTGTGACATAGTCGTGTGAATTTTATTTAACGAAAATTATAGGTGTGACGTTTCGAAGGCCGAGACTGTATATAAAGTGCCGATACGTTTAAACGAAAACGTGCAACGTACGTCGGCGCGATAAATGGTAACGCGTATGGCCCCCTTTACGCGCGTCCGCGCTTTATTACAGTTTAGCCCCGGTTTACCAGAGGGCTCATCTGCCCCGTGAGTTCCGTTCGCTTGGGACCGGGGGCCCCGTGTCAGTGGTGCTCAATCCGTGCCACGTTCATTTGACTTGCTAATGAACGCGGGACCCCGGATAATTTTATGCTAACACGATGGAAATGTTATTCGGCGTACAGATTTTCGAGATCGCCGATTTCACTGGGCCACGGGCCCGGGGAGAACGATAGTGTCACGGGGGGTCTGATTTTCTGCGTGCAATTTTCTTGTTCAGATATCTGCCGAGAGATTTCTTCATTTATAACCTGGCCGGTGGGTAAATTTCATGGGAACTCTAACACCTTGCCTTATTATCTACTTCTCAACTACAATCGATATAACTACTTTGCCATTAATAATTTATTGAATAAAGAAAAAACTCTACGCATATTCTACGTCTACGTTTTCTCTAAAGTATAATTATTGATAACAGAAGAATAATATTTCATTTGAATTCAGAAGATAACATATGTGTGACGCTGTTGATTACCGTTGCTATGATCATATTAACATATAGTTACCGTATGGTATACCCTATCGTCACTTTGGCTATATCAAAATATCACGTATATGTGACATTTATGTAAAGCTTTCTTTCGTGTATTTACTATGTTTTAAATGTGTAAAAATTATACGAATAACGTATCACGTGAAACAATTGCAAGGAAGACACTGTCGACAGAAAGGGTATTTTAAATTTCATCGTGGTTTCGAATGTGTTAAAGCGCCACAGTTTCGCAAGCATCGTACCAGGGTAACCAACCGACTACTCGATCCCCCGATCAATCGAGGTGTTCTAGTAAATCAGCCAGGTTGACAGGTTCGCAAGAATGGGCCGGTGTCCATTGAATGGCACCGATACGGGAGCACCACTGGGTGGACAGGCGTTTAAGGGGGTAGCTTGGCTCGTCCGCCTAATAGTCTCAGGGGTTAGGACAAACATCGCGTGCTCCCGGGAGCATCTCAGATTCTAATCTGACACTTCCGTCGTCATTTCCACAATTACCCCCGACAACCAGCGTTGTGTATACGTGTCCCAATGCCCGGTCGGTCTCGTTGCACCCTCTGGTCCCCGCGAGGGATAGGCACAACCGAGGTGTGTCTTTCGTGTGCGTGCCAGGGCCGAACACCACAAAAGGAAATTGGTCGAGGCGGACAGACGTCTGGCGCTAAACGTTAGATAACGTAAACTATCGAACAGGTTGACCGGTAATTGCCAACGAAGGGTTGCCCGTACCTACGAGCTGCTGGCTGTCCTTCATGATAACTCGAACGAGGACGCGTCCCAACGTCTTTTCATTGAACCCTCTGCAAAGGGATCTTCAAATTGCCCATTTTCGACGGAATTATACTGTCGGTTTTCTTCACTGGTTTCGTCCCTCGTTAACGCTTTTGACAACTGCACGGGCACTTTGCGTTTTAAAACGTATCATTGACGAGAAAATCGTTGGCAATGCGAGCGCTTCTGATTTGCCTTTTAAAGAAACCGTGTATATGTCGATGTATGGATTTCTACTGCAACTTCTCCATGGTGTACGAAATTGATGGGTTATGATTTTAAATCCGAACAAGTGGAACTTTAAAATGAAAGGTTGGTTCATAGTATTTTGTATAGTTTTGTAGGGTATGATAAAATATACTAGAACTACGATTCTTCTACTATGGTTTTCGAAGTTGATAAGTTCTTGTAGAAGGACATTCTAAGTACTACAGAATGCAAAGGGGTAAATAGTTTATTTTTAGAGGATGATAGGAATATTATGAAGCTTCATTTAATTGAGATTCTAGTTTACTTCTGTGGTGCGCTTTGTTGATTAGATGAAAACGTTGATTCACTCCCGAACACGCGTTCGCGCATTGTAAAGTCTGTCGCGCAAATATGGCAGATGTTCACGCAAGAATCGTTGATGTTTGTTTTCGACGTTCCATGACGTATTATCGGCTCTTGCTAAATCATTCATCGAAAAATTAATACTTAGGCGTTGGGAGGCTCGAACGCAATACGCCATCGTGTTCATAGGAGATCTTAATTACCAGATAAATAGGAAAGCTTCCGATCGACGGATCGCCGGGGAAAAGAATGTCTACATGCGAGAATATTTATGAGACTCTCTTGATATGCATGCGGTTGTCTACGTGTGAAAGTAGTGTAGTTTAGTGTTTAACTATACACTGCTCAAAATACTAAATACATCGAATCTCAATTGAAACAAATCTATTGTACGTTCTTGACTCTTTTCGTTCTCACGTTTGCTCATCCTCAAATTCAAATTCAATCGTCAGTTTGAATTAAAATTTGAGCGTGAATACCGATAATAAACATAAGAATATAATAATAGTAATAACAGTAAGACTTAATTTTTACTAAAAAAAACA